TTCTGATGAGAGAACTGGACAAAAACAGTCCTAGAAAAAGATCCCCCTTTGACATCATCTTTCAAATCTATTTTGCGACAAGACGTATATAATTGATCATATGATTGTTTAACGCATATCGAATACGAGGAATCCTTTGAATTCCAAGCAAAACAACAATAAAAGCAGAAAACACAGTGAGTGTATGTGAACAAAACATCTTTCAAATGAAGTTCATTGAGCAAACACCTACGAGAAATAAGTCCGATTCCTATACACGTGGGTGAGCCAATGACCCAAAAGCAAAAAAAGTAGAAAAACAAGCCTGGGGCCAATGCCAAGAATAATAAGAGTAAATTAGAGATCCAAGAGTAAAAAAGAATAAATGCATGTTTGAAAAGAAAGCGAATGTCTGGAGCCAATGAACCAAACGTAATACAAGTAAAAACTAAAACTATTAAGGGTGAAAAACAAAAAAAGCAAAATGAAAAAGTTTAAAGTAGGAGAAAAAGTAAAAAAGTAAAGCAAATCAGCTCATGGTTCTAAAGTAAACAATGCATTGACCACGGACTGAAAAAGTCCACGTTCTTATGTTAAAAAAATATTTTTAGACTTTGTTACTTGTTTACTCTTGGGTCATTGGCTCCAGAATTTTGCTTTTTCCTTTTTGGCTATTGGCTCCATATTCTACTTCTTTGAGTTTTCACTTTTTTTGCATCTTCTGACCAAACCTCAGAGTAGAAATAGGACAGAGGTGAATCCAAACCGACTGGATTCAAGATTCCCTGCAGTTTGGCCTGATTGTCTTTGAACATGCGCCTCTTTTGCTGCTTTTCCCAAAGCCCCCAAAAAGCAGAAAACACTGCGCGTACGAGTGAATTCTGAAGAAAGGTAGATCCATGGGGGGGGACCATATATATATATATCGATCTATCCATGTATCTATAGCTATATCTATATCTATCTTATCCTATTTTCCTATTTTATCATATCAATCCTGCCTTTTCCTGTCTTATCGTATCTTATCACGTCTTCCCCCAACCTTCTCCTATCGTATCCCATCTTTTGCTATGTGCTATCCATCTTCCTATCTATCTACATGGCTATCTACCTATGCTATCTCATCTATCCTAACTACCATATATGTCCTATCTTTCCGACTTGTCCTATCTATCTCATCGTATCCGTCTTCTCTATACTTCCTACCTGATCTATCTTAATTATGTCGTGTCTACCTTTTCTACCACACCTACCCTAAATACATAAACATATGTGTACAAGTAAGGTCCGGCAGAGCCGGGGGGCGGAAGTTTCAAAGCAGTGAACAACTATAGTTTGGAGAACTGTCCTTGGCCCCTTGCTTCTCTCTCTCTCTGTCTTTTTCTCTCTTTCTCTCTTTCTCTCTTTCTCTTTCTCTTTCTCTTTCTGTTTCTCTGTCTCTTTCTCTCTCTTTCTATCTATCTCTCTAGCTATCTCTATATCTGTTTATTGATCTATCTATCTACCCATCTTTCTCTGCACTTAAAAGTTGCGATGTTCAATCCCCGAAAGTTGACTTCGCGTACTACTTTCGTACTTAAAAGTTGCGATTTTCGAGCCCCAGCTGCGAAACTGGACTTCACGTACTACTTTCGTAGTTAAAAGTTGCGATTTTCGAGCCCCAGCTGCGAAAGTGGACTTCGCGTACTACTTTCGTACTTAAAAGTTGCGATTTTCAAGCCCCGGCTGCGAAAGTGGACTTTGCGCACTACTTTCGTACTTAAAAGTTGCGATTTTCAAGCCCCAGCTGCGAAAGTTGACTTCGCGTACTACTTTCGTACTTAAAAGTTGCGATTTTCGAGCCCCGGCTGCGAAAGTTGACCTTGCAAAAATGCTGCGCCTGCCACCAAATCTGTGCTTGACCTTGCTAAAGTGCTGCGCCTGCCACAAAATCTGTACTTGACCTTGCGAAAGTGCTGCGCGTGCCACGAATTTTGCACTTGACCTTGCGAAAGTGCTGCACCTGCCACAAATTCTGTACTTGACCTTGCGAAAGTGATGCGCCTGCCACGAATTTTGTACTTGACCTTGCGAAAGTGCTGCGCCTGCCACGAATTTGGCACTTGACCTTGCGAAAGTGCTGCGCCTGCCACGAAATCGATACTTGACCTTGCGAAAGCGCTGCGCCTGCCACGTATACTTGACCTTGCGAAAGTGCTGCGCCTGCCACGCAATCTATTTCTCTAGCTATCTCTATATCTGTTTATTGATCTATCTATCAGTCCATCTTTCTCTGCACTTAAAAGTTGCGATGTTCAATCCCCGAAAGTTGACTTCGCGTACTACTTTCGTACTTAAAAGTTACGATTTTCAAGCCCCGGCTGCGAAAGTGGACTTTGCGCACTACTTTCGTACTTAAAAGTTGCGATTTTCAAGCCCCAGCTGCGAAAGTTGACTTCGCGTACTACTTTCGTACTTAAAAGTTGCGATTTTCGAGCCCCGGCTGCGAAAGTTGACCTTGCAAAAATGCTGCGCCTGCCACCAAATCTGTGCTTGACCTTGCTAAAGTGCTGCGCCTGCCACAAAATCTGTACTTGACCTTGCGAAAGTGCTGCGCGTGCCACGAATTTTGCACTTGACCTTGCGAAAGTGCTGCACCTGCCACAAATTCTGTACTTGACCTTGCGAAAGTGATGCGCCTGCCACGAATTTTGTACTTGACCTTGCGAAAGTGCTGCGCCTGCCACGAATTTGGCACTTGACCTTGCGAAAGTGCTGCGCCTGCCACGAAATCGATACTTGACCTTGCGAAAGTGCTGCGCCTGCCACGAAATCTATACTTGACCTTGCGAAAGTGCTGCGCCTGCCACGAAATCTATACTTGACCTTGCGAAAGTGCTGCGCCTGCCACGCAATTCAAACCTTGCGAAACCTTCGCGCGGCCGTGCCAATGGGCCCGTCTCCGAGACCGTTCCGAACCCGTTCCGAACCCGTTCCGAGACCGTTCCGAGACCGCCTCCGTACAGGCGTCGCAGCCGAGGTGGTTTGCGCACAGTCCGGAAGCCCAATTCACGCACAGCGCCAACGTTTTCTGCATCTTGCCATCCCCCAGCTCGCAGAGAGTGGACGCAGCACCTTGCGAAAGTGCTGCGCCTGCCACGAAATCGATACTTGACCTTGCGAAAGTGCTGCGCCTGCCACGAAATCTATACTTGACCTTGCGAAAGTGCTGCGCCTGCCACGCAATTCAAACCTTGCGAAACCTTCGCGCGGCCGTGCCAATGGGCCCGTCTCCGAAACCCGTTCCGAGACCGTTCCGAGACCGTTCCGAGACCGTTCCGAGACCGCCTCCGTACAGGCGTCGCAGCCGAGGTGGTTTGCGCACAGTCCGGAAGCCCAATTCACGCACAGCGCCAACGTTTTCTGCATCTTGCCATCCCCCAGCTCGCAGAGAGTGCTTGCGAAAGTGCTGCGCCTGCCACGAAATCGATACTTGACCTTGCGAAAGTGCTGCGCCTGCCACGAAATCTATACTTGACCTTGCGAAAGTGCTGCGCCTGCCACGCAATTCAAACCTTGCGAAACCTTCGCGCGGCCGTGCCAATGGGCCCGTCTCCGAGTTCCGACCCGTTCCGAACCCGTTCCGAGACCGTTCCGAGACCGTTCCGAGACCGCCTCCGTACAGGCGTCGCAGCCGAGGTGGTTTGCGCACAGTCCGGAAGCCCAATTCACGCACAGCGCCAACGTTTTCTGCATCTTGCCATCCCCCAGCTCGCAGAGAGTGCTTGCGAAAGTGCTGCGCCTGCCACGAAATCTATACTTGAGAAAGCTATCTACGTGTTAAGCTAGCTATATGTCAAAGCTATCTATTTGTCATGCAAGCCTATTGGAAAGCTATCTATCTGTCAAGCTAGCTATATGTCAAAGCTATCTATCTGTCATGCAAGCCTATTGGAAAGCTATCTATCTGTCAAGCTAGCTATATGTCAAAGCTATCTATCTGTCATGCAAGCCTATTGGAAAGCTATCTATCTGTCAAGCTAGCTATATGTCAAAGCTATCTATCTGTCATGCAAGCCTATTGGAAAGCTATCTATCTGTCAAGCTAGCTATATGTCAAAGCTATCTATCTGTCATGCAAGCCTATTGGAAAGCTATCTATCTGTCAAGCTAGCTATATGTCAAAGCTATCTATCTGTCATGCAAGCCTATTGGAAAGCTATCTATCTGTCAAGCTAGCTATATGTCAAAGCTATCTATTTGTCATGCTAGCTACCTGTCATAGCTATATGTCAAAGCAGCTAGCTCATTTAGTTCCAGTACTACGGAAGTTTCTTGTTAAACTTCCTTTGACTATGTACCTTACCTTTTATTATCCTACCTCGTCCTTCCTGTCGTATCCTATCCTATCATGTCTCATCCTATCTTATCTTATCTTATCCCATGGTGGTATCCTATCTTACCCTATGTATCTATCGATCTATCAATCAATCTATCTTATCTCTATGACTGCCGGAGCTCAAAACACAAGTCCTTGAAGCATATTTGCGAAAACACAGCGACCACCTTCGTAAACCACGAAAAATGCGACACCGCGAAAACGCGAAAAAAAACGTGCCAACCACAAAAAAACGCGCAAAACGCAAAACTGCGCAACCATGCAGTTTTCACGGTTTTACCAGTTTTCTCGGTTCTCTCGGTTTTGCAAACTTCCCCGACTCTTGTCCGGCTTTCTTGGCTTTTTTCGGTTTTCCGGTTGTGTCGCGCAAATCCGGTTGACTCCGTGTCGCTCAAAACGATTGCTTGGTAAGGTTGTTTGTCGCTTAAAGCTTTGGCGAGCATGCGTTGGATCGGTTTAAGCTCATAGCTATCAAGTTGAAGCTAGGTCACGGTAAAAGCCATCTTGGAAGCTTGGATGGTTGCAATGCTTCGATCTGGACACGCCAACCCCGAAGCTGGCGCGCTTGGATTGAGTTAATTGGATTCGAGACAAAATGGCCTATATAGCCTCGGACCCCAAAGTTCCCGCGCAAGGCCCTTGCCAGTTCCACCACCGGCTCCAGGAACTCCAAGCCGCTCATGTTGAAGCCCTTGGTGAAGGCAATGACGCAGCATCACGCGGCGTGTCTATGCAGCTACGCACGCGCAAACACATCCCGAAAACTGCGCAACGGAGCCGCTGTCCTTCAGTCACATGATTGTGATCTGGCTTCCTGCTTTCGATGGACGAACTTCAGACGGACATGACGAACTGAAAATTGCACTAAGCCAAGCAGCTGCATCCATGCTCATGTTCTGAAGCCTTGCCGGTGCATTCGGCAGTCTGGCGCTCTCTTCTGTGACTGCGCACGCTGTTCAAGTGCAATGCCGCAGCTGAGCCTGCTTTTCTTGCACATGAATCAACCATGCTTGTCCAAGTATTGCGAAGCCAACAACTGGATATTGCCTCTTGGACACTGCATCTTTCGTTGCTCGTTGCCAGAAATACAAACAAGGACAAAGAACCTGTGAGACCGCAACCGAGAAAGTTATCATTTGGCAAAAAAAGACTCGGTCTCTAGTGTCTAGTGACTCTAAGTGACTCTAGTGACTCTAGTAAGATTGACTCTCTGACACCGCTGCAAAGACATAAGAGGGGCGAGGGCCCGTTCAATTGGCAAATTCACAGGAAATGGGCATTTGAAAGACTTGTGTTAGCAACAGGCACCGCGGAAAGGTGCTTGCGACGGATGAAGGAGTGAATCATAGTGCTTGCACGCGCTTGCTCCAGTCTCCCTGAATGTTGTAGTGCGACAGAAGCATGCCGCATGCGGTCGTTTGTTGCGCTTTCTCGCTTGGGGCTTTTTGTGCCCCATGTCCGCCGGAGCGCAAGCAGAGCTGGGGTCTCTTGCCTCGTTCTCTCTCTCTCCTCTTTGTTTAAATTCTGACTGCTGTTTACTACAAGTGCAAGTGTTGTGTTGTTGTTGACACGAACAAACCTGTAGTCTGCGCAACTCCTTGTTTGCATGAACTCTGGATGTAGTGAAGGCTCAAGGCCTGCGGTCATGCGCAAGCTATGTAGTACAACACCGCATGTACTTTGACAGCGTTAAAAGATCATGTAGTATCTTTCAACTGCAACGCAAATGTCAAGAATGACAGTAGTGATGAAAACAGCTGTTGTTCATCCTTGCTATTGTAGCGTGAATGGACAACAGGTGTAGTCCTCAGTAGCTCTTGCTGTTCAGGATTCAGTCGGACTGAACGGAGTTCGTGAGGAAGTGCCTGTTGTTGTAGTGCCTCACGCGGCCTGAGGGTGGTGGCACCAGTGATTCTGGCGCGGGTCCAGCCGTGAGGCTCCTGCATGTAGTTCATTCTTTGCCTGATCCACGCGTCCTGTTGTCGCGTTGTTCCCGTTAGTGTGCGTAGTAGTTGTGCCTGGAGTGCCTTGCAGCCATGTGTATTGGTCAACAAGTAGTGACCATGATACTCTGTAATCTTGCTCAAAATGCAGTGGACAGCACGTCGCACTGCGCCGTCGTTGGGGTGTAGGGTGTAAAGGTGGAGTAGTTTCTGAGTGCTGACGAGGAGGTGGAAATCCCAGATGTAGCCGTTGGCCAGGGTGTAGTGAAGGGTGAAGTTGTTGAAGTTGTAGTTGAAGGGTGTAGTGGCTTTGATTGAAGTGGAGTGTCTAATGTAGTCACGCACAAAGTAGTCCAGGTTGTTGTCTTGTAGTAGCTGTTGGGTGTAGTCTGTGGGAAGTGAAATGGTGATAGTAGTTGTTGACGTGGTTGGTGGATGTGCGGAGTTCGGTCAAGATGTAGTAATGCCACAAGTGGGCGTCAGCTGCCGAATGTAGTAGCTGTAGTCGGTCGTATGCCGGCTGATGTAGTTTGCCAGGTAGTGAGCGCAGTGGCAAAAAAGCGTGTAGCTGGTTCTGAAGTGGCAGTGGTGTAGAAAAGGTTGACTGTAGTGTCATCATCCTGTTCTGCAGTGAGAAAGCAGTAGTTTTCACGTGTCAGGGGATGTAGAATTTTGTGTGTTGCGGTGTTGTGGGTGGTGCGGGCATGGTGCGTGTGTCGTTGATTGAAGAATGAAATCGTTGGAATTGTAGACATCCTGTGGGGGCGCACTGCATGGTCGTGGTGTGGTCTGCAGTTGAAGGTCGTGACACGCCTGTAGTTGGGCAAAGTTGTGAACTGGTAGTTGGACGGGTGTAATCGTCTCAGGCGACGATACGCCAGCCTTGTCCTCAGCGATTGTAGTCGCAAAATGGTCCATGGCTGCAGTATTCCTGGAGCGGTCACCGTGTTGCAGTTGGTCATTCCAGTCTCCTTGATCATGTTGTCGATGTAGGAGCCCTGAAGTCCAAGAGTGCAGTAATTGCCAAAGTGCTCAACGCTTCTTCCCAGGAATTGTTGTGGCTTACCAGGCTTGAGGTAGTGAATGCGCTTGAGTAGTACCTGGCCTCAAAGATGGAGTCCAAGTACCACCAGGTCGTCCACGTAGACCATGATGTAGCAGTCGCGAGTCGCACGTTGGGTTCTGACTTTAGTCTCACAAATTCCTGAGCTTTTGTAGTACTTCAGCCAGGTAGTCCTGCCATGCTTTATGTGAACTGCGTAGTCCACACATGGCTTTCTTTAGCCGCCATAGTTTGTTCTGTAGTGGGCAAAGTTCTTTAGGTGGCCAAAGGTAGACGTAGCGTCGTTTGCGCTCGTGGTCTTTTGCGACGGGCGCGTGTAGTCCCAAGTGTCGTTCAGATGCTGAAATAGTTCTGCATTGTTGTCTGTTGTCCTGATGTAGTTCTTCTCCTTCTCCTATGTGCCAGACAGGCACTCTGCAGTCCTGGGCCCAATGGCCGGGCTTGCCACGTCGGTGGCATGTCATTCCTTTTCCGTTTGCTTTGCTGTAGTTTCCTTGGCCTTTGTAGCCGTTGTTTGATCCATAGCCTTTGGACCCTGAGTAGCCTTTTCCTTTGCTCTTGTTGTATCCTCCTTTGTGTTAGCTTCCTTTGTTGCCTTTGTCAAACCCCTTGTAGCGCTCTTTGCTCCTGTATTTGCCTTTGCTTTTGCTTCCTTTGTAGTGGCCTTTGCCTTTTCCTTTGCCTTTGTAGTTTCTTCCTTTCCTCCAAACGTTGTCAACGTCCATTGGCGCAGGTCCTCCATTGTAGTTTGTGCCTACAGCTGAAGTCGCTCTTGAGAAAGCAGAGATCGTCTTGTAGTAGTCCAGGATGACTGCTCTGATCTCGTTGTAGTTCGTGATCTGTCCAGCTCGCAGTTGGGGATGTTGTTGCAGCGCTCCTTTGGCTTTGTTGAGTAGTATTGCAATCTTTACTCCATCTGGTATTGCTGTGCCGTTGTCTTTCTCGTAGCGGTTGATGTCGTATTCTCATTGTAGGAATTGCTCCTCAAACTGTGCTTCATTGAATGTAGGTTCCGGTAGTTTGGTAAAGTAGCCAAGGCTTCGTGTTCCTATACTGGTAGGCTGAACCTGTCGTGCAAGAGTAGTGTTTCACATCCGTTTGCGTTGTAGCGGTTTTGCCTTACTACTGTAGCTGCTGCTCCCTGACATATGTTGATGAGGATGTGGTGTAGATCTCTGGCGAGGTCTACTGCTTTGCTTGCTTTTGTAGGGTCGCGTATGTGTGTGTTCTGATGTCTGCATCCTCAATCTGTCGTGTAGCTACTTGTGCCAGTTGCAGCAGCAGGTCAAAGTCTCGGTCAGCCATTCTTCATACTGAAAGTAGTCACCAGTGAAGAAAGGTGGTGGCAGTTTGTGTTTGTGTAGTCTCTGAACGTCGTTGTCTTGTTCTGCTCCTGTCCCGTAGTCGTGGCTCCTACTGTTTCTGCTGTTGGCCCATTCTCTGCTCCTGTAGTTTGTTGTGCTGAAGCTGATGCTGCTTCTCCTGACATGTCGTAGTAGTGTGGCATGTGATTGCTGCTCCAGTTGTTGTACTACTTACTGCTGGATACTGGAGCTCCCGTATGTTTAGGATCTCAGCTAAGCTACCACGTCAAATTCTGACTGCTGTTTTCTACAAGTGCAAGTGTTGTGTTGTTGTTGACACGAACAAACCTGTAGTCTGCGCAACTCCTTGTTTTGCATGAACTCTGGATGTAGTGAAAGCTCAAGGCCTGCGGTCATGTACAAGCTATGTAGTACAACACCGCATGTACTTTGACACTCTTCTTTGGCTTCCCTGTTCTCAATGCCCTTCTCCACCCCTTAGCACGTTCCTTACTGTTTGTCTTTCCTGTTGCTGGTTGCTTACTGTTCTCGTGGACCGAACTCGTTCTTGACATGTTTCTGCAACTTCTGAATCATCTCAGCCGATGTCGAGCCAAAGCCGCTGCAAGTGCAGGACGTCCGTGAAGACAGTCGGGTTGTTCTGCATCTCTGCCACTTTAGCCCGCACCTCGAGAAAGGCTGAAGGGAGAAATTGATGATCGCTGAAGGTTTGCTTTAGAACAGCGAAGGGAAAAAGAAAGCTCCAAGGAAAACCGGGAAAACAATTGTGAAAGGACAGGGCGAAGATCTTACTGGACCCGCAGCTCGTCAGTGAGTCGCTTTCCCCACATGCGGCCTGTGCAAAACCTGTGCAACAGCTCAGCAGCTCGGAACAAACCAAATTCACAAGTTTCAAACGATATCAACCGCTTCAAAGAACTTCAAACGATCGATCTGTTCACATCTTTTCACATCGTTTGGTGCGCGAGCTCTCTCTCGACCGGTTTTGGTCGCAGGCACGGTGGACTCAGACTGGACGTGACGGAAGACCTGCCAATCCACAGTCCAGCCACCCGAGAGAGCGCTGGCCTCAAATCGAAATCCGGCAATCCGAACATGTGAAAACGCTTCGAAAACGTTTCGATGTTCTGAGAGCAGCTCTGAAGCCACAACAAAACTCTGCATGGCGCCAAAGTACTGCGCCTTAGGCCGGCGACTCAAACTTACGCCAAATTGTATTCAATGTGCGCAGGTTGGGAGTGCGGTAAAGATTCGAGTAGAGCATCGCTCGCCAAGGTGCCAATGAGCTTGTAACCGCCGACTCCACACGATCCGCAGTTCCCGCATCCAGCACAAACACCATGTTCCCCGTGCTTCTGACCTCAGGGGCGAAATCGAGGCCCGAAAAGAGCGCAACTCTCATTGCCGGAGCGGCCATGATGTCTACTGTTGTTGTAGATATGGTGACTGTGCTCGCCGTTGTTGACAACGTTGAAGTAGTGGAAGATGTCGTGCCTGGGCGCACTGAGCACTTCACGATGTCAAGGCTGAAAGTGTGTTACTCACGAGCCGAAAAAACAGCAGCCAACGCATGCCGACAGAGCTGCTCGTGAGACTTGTCAAAGATGATGAGCTTGATGTCACGCTTGAGCTGCTGGTTGTGCTTGTCAAAAGCGATGTGCTCTCTGTTGTTGTGCTGCTGCTTGTATGACTGCTGGTGGAGGAGCTTGTCGTGGAGCTGCTGCTGGAAAGTGCTGAGTTGGAACTTGCAGACGTCGAGCTGATGGTGCTGGTCAAGCTAGAACTGGTCGCAGTGGCGCTACTGCCAGTGTAGCTGCTGCTTGTGGATGTTGTTTCTGTGCCAGTCAGGGTCGTACTGCTGCTGGAAAGTGCTGAGTTGGAACTTGTAGACGTCGAGCTGATGGTGCTGGTCAAGCTAGAAGTGGTCACAGTGGCGCTACTGCCGGTGTAGCTGCTGCTTGTGGATGTTGTTTCTGTGCCAGTCAGGGTCGTACTGCTGCTGGAAAGTGCTGAGTTGGAACTTGTAGACGTCCAGCTGATGGTGCTGGTCAAGCTAGAACTGGTCACAGTGGCGCTACTGCCAGTGTAGCTGCTGCTTGTGGATGTTGTTTCTGTGCCAGTCAGGGTGGTACTGCTGCTGGAAAGTGCTGAGTTGGAACTTGTAGACGTCGAGCTGATGGTGCTGGCCAAGCTAGAACTGGTCACAGTGGCGCTACTGCCAGTGTACCTGCTGCTTGTGGATGTTGCTTCTGCGCCAGTCAGGGTGGTACTGCTGCTGGAAAGTGCTGAGTTGGAACTTGTAGACGTCGAGCTGATGGTGCTGGTCAAGCTAGAACTGGTCACAGTGCTTGTCGATGCTGTTTCTGTGCCAGTCAGGGTGGTACTGCTGCTGGAAAGTGCGGAGTTGGAACTTGTAGACCTCGAGCTGCTGGTGCTGGTCAAGCTGGAACTGGTCACAGTGGCGCTGCTGCCAGTGTAGCTGCTGCTTGTAAATGTTGTTTCTGTGCCAGTCAGGGTCGTACTGCTGCTGGAAAGTGCCGAGTTGGAACTTGTAGACGTTGAGCTGATGGTGCCTGTCAAGCTAGAACTGGTCACAGTGGCGCTGCTGCCAGTGTAGCTGCTGCTTGTGAATGTTGTTTCTGTGCCAGTCAGGGTCGTACTGCTGCTGGAAAGTGCTGAGTTGGAACTTGTAGACGTCGAGCTGCTGCTGCCTGTCAAGCTAGAACTGGTCACAGTAGTGGCGCTGCTGCCAGTGTGGCTGCTGCTTGTGGATGTTGTTTCGTGCCAGTCAGGGTTGTACTGCTTGTTGGAAAGTGCCTGAGCTGATGGTGCTCGGTCAGCTAGAACTTGGGTCACAGTGGCGGGCTACTGCAGTGTAGCTGCTCTGCTTGTGGATGTTGTTGCTGTGCAGTCAGGGTCGTACTGCTGCTGGAAAAGTTGCTGAGTTGGAACTTGTAGACGTCCAGCTGATGGTGCTGGTCAAGCTAGAACACTGGTCGCAGTTGGCGCTTACTTGCCAGTGTAGCTGCCTGCTTGTGGGATGTTGTTTCTGTGCCTCGTCAGGTTCGTGCTAGCTGCTGGCAAGTGCTGGTTGGAACTTGTAGCGTCGAGCTGATGGTGCTGGTTCCAAGCTAGAACTGGGCACAGTGGCGCTGCTGCCAGTGTAAGCTTGCGCTTTGTGGATGTTGTTTCTGTGCCAGTCAGGGTCGTACTGCTGCTAGAAAGCGCTGAGTTGGAACTTGTAGACGTCCAGCTGATGGTGCTGGTCAAGCTAGAACTGGTCACAGTCGTGCTGCTGCCAGTGTAGCTGCTGCTTGTGGATGTTGTTTCCGTGCCAGTCAGGGTCGTACTGCTGCTGGAAAGTGCTGAGTTGGAACTTGTAGACGTCGAGCTGATGGTGCTGGCCAAGCTAGAACTGGTCGCAGTGGCGCTACTGCCAGTGTAGCTGCTGCTTGTGGATGTTGCTTCTGTGCCAGTCAGGGTCGTACTGCTGCTGGAAAGTGCTGAGTTGGAACTTGTAGACGTCGAGCTGCTGCTGCCTGTCAAGCTAGAACTGGTCGCAGTGGCGCTACTGCCAGTGTAGCTGCTGCTTGTGGATGTTCCAGTCAGGGTCGTACTGGAAAGTGCTGAGTTGGAACTTGTAGACGTCGAGCTGATGGTGCTGGTCAAGCTGGAACTAGCCAAAGTGGCGCTGCTGCCAGTGTAGCTGCTGCTTGTCGATGTTGTTTCTGTGCCAGTCAGGGTCGTACTGCTGCTAGAAAGCGCTGAGTTGGAACTTGTAGACGTCCAGCTGATGGTGCTGGTCAAGCTAGAACTGATCACAGTGGCGCTACTGCCAGTGTAGCTGCTGCTTGTGGATGTTGTTTCTGTGCTAGTCAGGGTCGTACTGCTGCTGGAAAGTGCTGAGTTGGAACT